GTGCAGGAGGATGCTTCAGCTATAACGACAGGGAGTTATGAATACAAGAGTTACCAAGATGAGGATGACCTGCTTGATATTGATGCCCTGCTACATGATGATGCTTTCATGCCTACGGTGTTCGAATGATTGATTGCCTGGAACCCCTCCGCTTGACTACCTTTGTGTTTTGGTCCTTTTTTTAATGAATGATTAACTAATTATGGTTGTTTATAACGAAAATAAACAATTGATTAGTGATCAATTTTCTTTTGTAAATATTTACTCCCTAGTTATTGTAGTTTAGACTTAAATACTCGGTACTCCCTATTATATACGAGTATATGGTTAAATCCTACAGTCTCATTTTGTTAGAAGCTTTTTTAAACGTTTGTGAATACGCTTATAACAATATGCCGTTGTGCACTTGTTGTATTACGTTGTGCACATGTTATAAGTAATACGAAGTAGACACAAAAAACTCAAATTTTTTTGGGTGTTGTACTCCGTAGATATATTTCCTCGAGTTAATAGAAAACAAATTACAACAATAAAATGTGTAGACTTGGAATTCATATTTAGTGCCATTGGGAGTAAATATGGAATAATGAAGAGTAAACACAAAGCATTAAAAGAGGAGTATGGTGTTGCATGTATTTTATTAAGAAGATATGTCATTATAGGGTTGTTTTTACAAACAAAAAATGCTATTGGAGACTTGGCAAAAAGTGGTCAATCATGTAAATGATCTCGTAGTTGATATAATAAATGATACGAGGGTAGAACGTAAAGTTAACGTTTGATTTATGTAGCCGACCCATATAGTGAGATAAAGCTTTGTTGTTGTATGGTGATATTGTTATTCATTGAAAACTATTGTATAATAGAGATAAAAATGTACACAATCACAATGGATGAATGAAAAGAAATATGAATGTTGATATTAGGAATGATTGGGAGAGAGCCTTGATCGACTATATAATTATTTACTCCGCGGTAATTCTCTGTATTATATTATTGTCTATATATATACTCTATATTTCTACAGTGAAGAGATTATGAGATTAAAGAAATCAATATGAGCAGCCTAATCGGGGGGTTGTACATGCTGCTATTATGGATCCATGCTATGGACGGTGGAGCAGAAGCCGGCGGCGGCGGCGGCTTTAGCGCGGAGGACGACGGGGTCGTTGAACTCCGTCAAAGCTGCTTTGTAAAAGCATTCATCTGAAAGTGTTGAAATGACGGCACAGCACTCTCTCCCTATCTGAATTTCAGTCCCTCTGACCCACTCTGTCACCTCCCTAACGCACCCGTCCACCTGAACCAGTGCCGCCGAGCAGTCGTCTGAAACAGGCGGTGATGGTGATGGCGATGGTGCCGGATTTGTAGAAGTGGGCGGCGGCGGTGATGGTGATGGCGATGCCTGGCAACAGGTACTACCAGTGACCCTGCGGTGGTACCGGGTTGCGGCACGCAGTCGTGGCAGTGGCGGTGCCGGACTTATAGGAGTGGGCGGTGGCTGGCAACAAGTACTAGTGCTCTTGGGGGGGTTTGGTGTTGCGGCGCGCAGTCGTGGAAATGGCGGCAGATGCTGGCGGTGGCGATGGTGGTGGCGGTTCCGTGAACGGTGATGATGTTGTTGTGGTGGCGGCGGAAGCGGCGGCGGCGGAGGCGGTGGGGGGCTACGGTGGCGGCTCCGGGAATGGTGGTGTGACCGATGTGGTCGGGGCAATTGGCGTGGGTCCAGCGGCAATGGCGGTGGCGGAGGCTGGACGGGCGGTAGCGAAATGGGTTGGACGTAAGGCGGGACTGGCGGCTGGTACCACATAACCGGCGGAACCGGCGGCTCGTACCACATCGTCGGCGGGACTGGTGGTTGGTACCACATAGTGGGTTGAGGACCGATGTTCCAAGGCGGCATCACCGGAACAATAAGGGGACATCTCATGACTATGCACCACCATGCCGTCGTTTTCTGCTGCCCCGGTGAACTGTCTCCGGCGAGTGCCGCCGGAGCAAACAATAATGGGAAAATGAGTAGCGCAACGCTACTGGACATGATAGGGGTTAATGGAAGCTTTGTGTGCCGACTAATAAACTGTTTCTTGCAAATGACACAAATTTGTTGTTGAAATATTGATTGATTTATTTATAAAAGGGCAGGGAATAAATAAATAAATTATTCCAAAACAATAATACAATATAATGCAAGAGGATCAGAAAAAGAGTAGGTGTTTCATATCATTTCCATTAATAAGCTACAAAAACAATTATGATGGAAGATATATTTTAATATTTAATTATATATGTTTTGCTAAAGAAGTCTTTTCGTTTCCAATAATCTTTTAGTAAAATAAAGAAACTGTGCCCTACACTTCCTCTGGTACTCCTAAATTTCTTTCTCCTCCTAATTCTAGACAGCCCAAGAGTAAGGTTGGTGAAAGATGTGTAGATTATATAGTCTCGAAAAAGACCACAGTTCTTTTGACACTTGCATTGAGTGTCATTTTATGACACTGGAGTCCTATAATGCTCCGTTGGATCTGGCCATCTGGGACCAGGTCCTACCCCCTAAGGCACCCAACAAAGCCAACCCCCCCACCCCACCCCCACCCCCAACACTTTGCCAAAATGCAACAGTAGCACTTTCAGCAAAATGTTGGATGGGGCTGGAGGATTGGGTTTGTCGGGTGGACTATAGGACGAAATGGAGTATCAAGACCCCCAAATGGCTTGGTGTCGTGACACTGAGGACCGGTGTCAAAAGAATGGACTACTGGAATAATTTGCCGAAGGTTCAAGATGATTAATTTCGTTTGGGTTCAACAAAAAGTGGCCTTTATAAAGTTTAAGAATGAATGTAAGAGGAAATTTAAGCTTTTCAAAGACAATCATACTCTGGCAATGGAAACAAACTGATTTGGAATGAGATATATGGTTCATTATGAGATACACTAACCGATGTCTAAGCTTCAATGCATTGCCTTTTCACATTTAGATCATCTTTATCATCAACGCTTTCACATTCGGATGGTTCAATTCGCTTTTTCACATCTTTCTCCTCCGCATCACTTTTCTCTTCTAACTCTTCATTACAGTCCGCCGAGTCGGATTCACATCTTTTTCTTTGAGGAATGACTTGGAAGAATGAGTCCTTCCAATCTTTTGCTTCCAAGAACTTGAGGATTATCTCTACCACTTGATTCACAGTAAGGACCTGTTGGTAAGCAACAAATATTCCTTCAAAAGGGGGATCAGATTTTGATTGACTGGAGAAAATGGGGGGCATTTGGTAAGGGCAGATTTGGAAGATTTTTCTGAAGTTGCTGAAATTATGACGAATATTGATGAAGTTGCTGGATTTTGGAAAAAAAGTTCAAATATAGCGATATTGATAAAATAAAGAAGCAATTATATGAAAATTGCCAAATAGCCATCTTCACAAATCACGAACTTCAGCAAAACATGACATGATAACACTTAATCAACTCTATTTTTTTCCATGGTTTTGAACAACTTGTATGTGAAGACCTGCCATCGAGTAGCTTTTACCCTTTGGGTAGAAGTAGGAATTGCGTACATCTTGCCCTCAAAAGTTAAACTTGAGCATATACTGGTTTTGTTTGGTACTTTGGTTCGGTTTGTCAAAAACAAGAGCTCGAGGTGAGAAAGTAGCAGAAATCAAGACAAGAAAAAGAAGGCACACCTGAGAACTAGACATCTTCAGATAATCTCCTATGGGGAGTTTTGCAGTTTGAATCCCTTGCTCTACTGCTTTCTTCATAGTTATTCCTTTCCACCTGTTCCTATCCACTAACCCGCCAATGATATATACTGCCTTTGGATCCATTTCATTCAGAACATTTTCAGAATCAGCCGTCAGATATACCAGCTTTTCTTTTTTATTATCAAATACTTCAATGTATGGTCTTTCTTCTTTCTCAATTACCCATTTATCATATCCAGGAAGCCGTTCTAGATGCTTCTGCATTTCTCCTATACAGCTGGTCAACCAAAGATGGGCTGGAGAAGCAGATCTTCCGTTTACAGCATAGCAATACATAATCTGCAGGTCCCGCTTATGAAATTAGCTCAATAGTCAACACAGCTTGCGGGGAAAAGAACTGAAGCAGTGAGCTCCTAATGTAGTCTCCAAAATGTTAGTGGAGAATAAACCACACATCAGTCAGAGATGCCCAAGGGTGTGTTTTAATATATGGTTCTGGAAGGCTTAGTCAATGCCTTTATAGCATTATAAGTAGAGAATATTTCTGAAAACATATCAATTTTTATGAAATCTTAACAATATATCAAGATGTAGAGGTAGCCATCTAAAACCCTCCCCTTCAAACCCCTCCCCTCCAAACCCCTCCATCCATATCGAACCAACATGTAAACCACCATATAAGTTTTACGAATTTTGTGTGTTTTCTTTGCTGTGGGGACAATGCAAAAGCTCCTGTACCTCACTCTTCACACAAAATCTCCTAACCATTTAGGTATAAAAAGCACACAAAATTTTCAGTAGAACTAAGCCACTCAACAATAGTTCTATGCAATTACCCTTAACTCAAGTTTTAGTCCATAACCAAAGTAATTTTTTTTCTTGCAATATTCCTAAAGCTGTTGAATTGTATCCTACACTCATAAATTTCACAGGAGATCAATGATGCAATTGATCAACAATGGTGCACCATTTCATTGCAATTGGATACCTCTCAAGACCATCATAGCCTTCTTAATCCCTACAAAACTTCACCCGACTAACAACGAAGAACAGAGAAGGGAATCGAAAAGAAAACCTGCTGAACGAGGCTATTAACCTCAGAAGAGCTCATCAGATGCCCAAATTCAAGATCAATAACAACATTCTGTCCACTGCTCTTCGCCTCCCTGAGTTTCTCCATCTTCAATTGCCTTTCCTCAGTCCGCTTCTCCATCCGTTCCTTCCGCAGCTCTCTCCTTCCCGCGATTAGCTTCTCCCTCTCCTCTTCGCCCAAAGACGCCAGCTTCTCCTCCCATTCCTTTCTCTTCCGCTCGACCTCCTTCTTCTTCTGCTCCTTCTCGTACGCCTTCTTCTCCGCCTTCTTCGCCTCGTACCGCTGCTGCTTCAGCAGCTTCTTCTTCGCGTTCTTCGACATCGGCTGCTCCTCGGTTTTCTCCATTGCTGATGATTCCATTTTGAAGATTTGTTGCAGACAGGGAAATGTGTGAATTTGGAACTGATTGAACACGAGATTAATTACCACTGCCAATTGATCAATCAAACAAGTTAGATTTGGACTTTTAGGCCCATAACGATTTTGTGTAGCCTAATCTTAGTTCAACTAGCTATGTGGGCCTGGAAATGGGCCTTTTGAAATGAATTTGGATTTCACACACCAAGGTACTTACTCTGTGTCAAAAAGACTGTAACAATTTCACTTTTTTAGTTAAACTGTGATACACTTTTATTATAAATAAAATATAATTATAAATCATTAAATGGCATAAAAATTGATATATATATATATATAGGGGCCGGTTCCTGTAAGCCTTGTGGAGAGAAATGAGAATGAAATCTAACCGTTGGATCTGATGCATCGTGCGGCTCAGATTGCATCCTGCGCTCAGATTTTGAGATAGTGCATTTTCAAAGGATTATGATGCATTTCGACGTAATGCATTTTCAAACCATTTTGTTGCACTTAATTTTGATGCAATCCTGACCCTTAGATCGTACAATCTAAAGCACCAGATTCATTCTCATTTCTCTCCTAAGATCGCATTCTCACTAGAACCAATATATATATATATAAACCTAATTTAATTAAATTTATATTATAACTAAGTATATTGTTTCTATAATTTAACTATAGAAATTTTTTTGAATGGAAGAATTCACACAAATTCCATGATATTTCTGAATGAATATAAATAAAAATATTAAAAAACAATGTATAAAAAGTAGTATAGTTTTTAAAACTGGACCGACGACTGAACCGCTCAAGGGACTAGCATAGTTATGTAACAAAAAGTACTCGCTTGGATGGTGGATAGCCTAACAAAAAAGCAACTAAGTCTTGCGTTCAAAACCCAATCTTGTAACACTTTTTGGGAATTTTACGCAAAAAAAAAAAAGGTTCACTAGTTAACTCATTAGATAACTCACTAGATTTTATTGCAAATTATGATCACATTTTATAAATATGACCACACAAGTGAAAAGTATATCTTTTGGTATTGTAACATTTTGTTTACTTTCCCAAGCCTTTTCTGCAATCCAAACACACCCCAAGGGAGATTGGAGAAAAGACAACAAAATGTTATGGACCTTTCGATGGTCTATGTGGAAGAGACGAGTTAAGAACAAATTCGGGTCAAACACGACCTTATACATGTGTGTTTACTATATGGGATGTATAGCAAACAAGCAAACATGTACTAAGGTTAACCTCATTCGAGTCCGTTTGAATGCTTATTAAGAATCATCTTTGGTGTACACCAAGTTTACAGAACTTTACACCATCCGTTTTTTGAGCTTCACATATAAAACTTACGATTGTGCTAAGAGGACACCAAGGTGGTGACACCATTTTGACTTCAAGCATTAAATGTTGTGTGTGTGTAAAGCTTGGTGTCATCATCTTAGTGTTCCCCTAACATTTTTTTTAAAACTTATCTGTGTGTCAGTAATTAATTAGTACTGGTTGTGCCACAGACGAGTTTTGTCAATGAAGTAAACTTTTTTGGCATACAAATAACTTGAAATCATAGAAATAATACTGTACATTCAGAAACAATCTTGGATCAGTGGCTTGTTTTGGTATACATTCACATCTTCCCTTGATCATGATTTTTGTTTTGGTCTAGAGAGCTATGTCAAACAATTACTAGGCAATATAATCAAGCAGGTTCCAGAGTAGCATCTTTTGGCACCTGGTTTTTGCTTGTGTTTATAGAATACTCTTTCACGTTCTCCGAATGTGCATCTTCTTTTAGACAGAGATTGGAAAAAGCATCACTCAATGCATCGGTGGCTGTTGAAACCTCTGTGAAGTTTGCACTATTGTCTGTTCCATCTTTTATGGGGTTTTGATTTGGTTGGAATTTGATTTCAGCTTCGAGTTTCATGAACTCGCCTTCAAAGTCTTCGTCGTCAACCTCAGTCAAAGCTAAATTTGATCCTGAAAGCCGCATAAAAAAGTTATTTCGATTCCTAATGTGTTTTATGCTTGGACAAACATGCTCAAACCAAACAGAAATGATGGATTATGTGCTAAGGCTATGTTTGGTAGGGATATGGGGTGACTTGTTCTGCCTCTGACTTTAACGTAATTGGCTAAAATCAAATCAAACGAAAACTTTTCCGCGGCATAGGAGATAGAAAGGTTTACCTAAAACTTTATCAACTTGCTTCAATGTATCAATGCTCTCATCAAGATCCTCCAGACACATGGTGACTTCCTCAATACTGATCTGATTATCCTTTAGTGCTTGTGCACTGATTTGGATAGCCTCAGAAACCTGACAATCAAGAGGTCATAAGGTGAGAGATAATCTATGACCAGGAAATCATTATCTCCCCACTACTTTGATCAGGAAATTTTTATATTTAAATTCCATTTATTGATTTTTATTCAGTCACGCGGTCAAATCCTATTTCATGAAAATTATCAACCGCAGAGACAATAAGGCATAGTTTTGTTCGACGGTTTTGGAGAGGAATATTGTTTGGTTGGGGGAGTTTTTGTTTTTTTGGTGGGGGTGTGAAGGAGCTATAAACACCTCCAAATACCACATATCTCAATCCCCCATTCAAGATATGTTAGGAGGGCATATATACTTTGCTAATTTCTTTTTTACCTTTTTTTCTCTAAATCTAACGGGTTCTACTATGTAGTATATCTGTATATCGTTACGTAGTATTACAAAAAAATGTTATATCAAATATATGACTTAAAACATCTCTTAAACTCTTCCCTTTTCCTCAATCCCCCAGAGTCCCCCTCCCCTACTTTGAACCAAACAAAGACAAGATTAGAGCGCCCGAGGAACATGAGAATATCAACCAACCTTTTTAGAGGATTCGGCATCTGCTATAGCTCTGAGAACTTCTTCGACTCGGTCTACAAGGTTGGTGCATTTATCTCGACTCTGAGAAACCAACTTTAGTTCTTTTGCAAATCTCAAGGCAGCAATTTTGTTGCCACATTTCAATGAAGCTAAAGCCGCCTTCCTTGTTCTGCAAAATGAACCAATGGAATAGTGAATAGAATAATTCCAAACCCAATTAAAATTCAGAAGTTAAAGGTGTGCTTGGTTGGAGCATAGGGGAGGGATAATGCTCCTGTCCCCTCTTTGGTGTTGGTTCAAAACATTTGGAGGTTGGGAGAACTTTATTATTCCCTCCCCTCCCCCACCCACAACCCTCTAAAGCCAAAGACACTCTAATTCTCTGTATAACCACCCCTCTAACAAACCAAACAACGTGCACCAAAATCCTCCCTT